AGCAACTGACTCCACTGTCATTCACTTCTTCCTAGAGAGACACATCAACAGTCTGCTCTATGCTTTGCTCTTCTCGTTCACAAAAGTAACACTAGTTCACTCATTTTCCTGTCAGTCTAAGTCCATCAACACATTTACAGGGTTTGCTTCATTATATCTTTATCCTCTACACATTCCTTATTCAATATGCATTTAAGTTAGTTGACACTCACTCACTTTTTTGGGTAGACTAACCCATGTATCAGACAGAGGGAGAAATGAACCCCAGTCACTTTATGTACACTTTATGTATTTACTTGCTTTAATGTTCCCCACTGTAGAGATTATAAAAGCTTTTCCTTGGGATAAACCTAAGTTTGCTTGCTCTTATTATCAATGATATATAGCATGTCTTTGAATTTCTGTCTCAAGTTATTATCTTCCTCATAGCTACTAGTATTGGTCATTGCAAGACACTTAAATGTTTACAGGCATTGGAATTGGATAAAAAGCTCACAGAAATGGAAAACATCATAATGAAATGGGAAGGCAACAGGAGCCAAACAGGATAAAACACCATCATTACATATTCATCACAGGCAACAAGACTCTATGTTGACAATACCATCAACTATGTGTGAAGATAATACAGAAATGAACTAATAAATACTAATCACTTGTTTCCCTAACTTAAAAAGGTTGGTCATAGATTTTATTCTCTTAAAAAAACACACTATGAATTACATGTTGCCTATTGCTACTGCCTATTGCTACATCTATCAAAGGAACTATACTATCCTTTTTATTATTAGTTTTTGTGGTAGCAGTGATGGAACCAACCCAGGGCCTGTCTCATGTAAACTATGCAAGTGCTCTGCCATTGAGCTAAAATACTCTAAGCCCTATACCAGTCTTTTTTTTTTTTACTTAATAAGAGGAGCTGTCAAAGCAGCAAAACTTCCAGATATGTAAAGAGAGAAGAAAAAGTATGTACTTTTTCTTATTCAAATCATAAAAACTCATTAAAAGGTAATAAAGCAAAATTAAAAAGGTGTCTTTTTGATATAATTGCAGATTAAAGATAACTGAGTTCACGTTCACAAGAATTTACAACTGTGGGCCAGAGATATAGCTCAGTAGCACTGTGCCTGCCTTGCAAGTGATCCCTGGTACTGAAAATAAAAAGTTACCACTGTACTGTATCTTTTGGTGAGACATTGAGAATTTGTTTTTAGAAGGATATATGAGTCATTTCTAAGGCATTGGAAATTCTATAGTTTTAAATTTATATACAAAGTGTATGTCATCCTTAAGACTCAAGAGGTACAAATTTAGGGGTTTTAGTATAAACAACATTAATTCCCTTATAATTTTCCATATTGTCTGGATTTTCAATTTCTCTTGAAAGGTACTTCAGCTATTATTTTTACCCCTTGGTCCCTATGGTAGTATAATTTATTACAGGCAATAATGAATTATGTTATGATAAAAAAAACTGTACCATATTCAAATGGTAGTAAAAGTGGCATATAAAAGGAATTTAAATTCTTTTCAAGGAATTCTAGGTGATACAGAAGTGTTTATCCAGGAAGATAGATGAATTAACAGCATTTTAAACAGAGGACTAGAATGTTCTGTTTCCTGGTCCATATCTAAGGTCTGTTATATCTTGCCAATACGTCTATTTGTATACACTTCTAGGGACATAAACTACTATACAAACTTTACTGTAAGTCTGACATCCTAATGGAATGAAAAACAGACCTTTCTACACAGCTCAATCAGTAAGCACATCTACTTTTACCATTGTGTGGATGCATGTAACTGAATGGTACATTTTTCTTATAGTTAAAGAAAAAATACCGGGAAAGTATTTATTTATAAGAACCAGGACCAGTATTATTCCAGAAGAGCCTTTTGAAGGTAACCTCCTTGAATGGCTTTTCCACAACCTACAGGTCTATGTCCTCTATGAAAGCTTGTGAGCCTTGTAAATTTAAGGTTAGAACCTAATTTTTCATGGCAGTGTCCTTTCCCAATCACTCCACACACTGGGACAGCAGAGTTATCGTTTAAATGGATCATTTAAATGACAGATCAGGTCATTTATGCCTAAGTAGTCCTGATTGTCAGTTAGGTGCTCTGGGATAGTATGCTCTCTGTGGGTCTCTAGGGTGACAGCACTAGACTGAAGCAAGGGAACAGCTTCCTCACTGTTCAAAATCTCAGCAGTGATTTAAAGCGGATGCTTTACAAATAGTGTTCTTAACAGCTACTTCCAGAGTGCCACTTTCCCAATTTGGGGCTGACTGGATTAAACAGATCTTTGTATTTATACTTTATTTCTAGTCATATGTTTGGAAGAAAATGTTTCTTTTAGATTTAACAAACACCAAGGGCAAGAAGAAAAGTAATATGGAAAACACCTTATTTGCCTGTATAAAAAAACCACACTGCTTTCTACTCAATTTCCAAACACAAAAGATATTTCTAAAGACCTTTAAGCATTGTCACCCTAATACCCTCAATTATAACAAATCAATGAATATTTTGGAAAAAGTGGTACTGTGTATAAAGTGTTGTACTGCTGAATCATCCAAATCCTGTATCAGTAATTGATAAAATTTCTTTGTTCTTGCCTTCTCAACTGGTATTAAGTCGCCGGGCGTCGTGGCACACTCCTGTAATACCAGCACTCGGGAGGCTGAGGCAGGAGAATCGCTGTGAGTTTGAGACCAGTCTAGGCTACATAGTGAGTTCAGGTTAGTCTCAACTACATAGTGAGACCCTGCCTCAAAAAAAAACCAACCAAACAAACAAACAAACAAAACACTATTTAACTGGTATTAAGTCAAGAGAAGAGAGCCAAAGTAATACTTTCTCTGGAGAAAGAACCTCTGAACTTCTCAAGGTCATTAAGAATGTTATCTTAAAAAAATCTAAATAAAAGGTGTTCATAAAATATTACACATCTCACAGGAACCAAACAAGAGATACGCAAATGGCAAAATCTGTTTTTACCTCAACACTGACTTAACTTTGAAAGTAGTTGTACAGTCTACATTTTACACAGAGAAGCTGGTATATCTTGTTATCAGATTATAACACAATGCCTATCTCATCAAGGAGTCCATTTTCCCCAAACATACAATTATCTTTTAAAGAAATAATCATGTAATACAGAGTTTAGTTTCATTTCACACTTAAAAAGTTAAAACTTAAAATATCTCAGTTGGAAATTTTGAAAGCAAAGAAGAAACTAAATTAGCTGATGTTAGGAGAAGTGCAGTAAGGCATAACCCTATTCTTGTCTTTTATTTTTGGCCACCTGCTTACAACATAGAAACAATCCTTAGCAGATGTGAAATAAATAAGATTTTGAAACAGTTTGTCTTTCTTTTTCCCTCCCTCCCTCCCTCCTTCCTTCTTAATGCTGTTTTGGAAATAGCTCTTTTTATTGTCTAAAAGGATTATAACAACTTTTTTTTTTTTTTTT